ACCATTTTGAAAACATTTTTTCATTTATGTATTTTGCAAGAGAAGGTAGTTGGTACCAATTTGTCTTGGGACCTCTGTTGAAGCTGAGCTAGAAAAAGCCCCACTTTCACACTCTGTTGTATACTACAGCCACACTATGGGAGTGGGGAGATATGTCTGATCCCTGTGGGGGATCACAGGCCCAGGACAGTGCTGTTGGAGCCCAGTGTCATCATTTTTAGAGACAGCAGCACCTTCACGTCTGATTGTGCCTTTTCCCCTCTAAGGTGGGGCTGCATGTCTTGGCTATTCCTCCTACATGTCTGTGATTTTACCACCCGGAAAATGGCACCAGCAGCCTGGCAGTCAGGCCAGTCTGGGCAAGGCTTCTCTGGATCCTAGCAAGGACATGCTGGGACTCCAGTCTGCTCTCTCACGCGCATTCCCACCCTCCCACCACTGCTACAAAGGCTAACAACACCTATTGTTTAGATATGATTTTGCTTTCAATTAAACAAAAGAATTAAGAATATATTAGTATATATTTCTCAATTTAAAAATAGTTTGGGGGAGAAAAAGGGATCACTGCTATATTAAAAGATGCTAGCTAATTTCAGGAGCCTTAAAAAGTGAGTAAAAGTCTCTCATAACCTGAGAAATGCAGTGGGTCCACAATTAGGTTGTCACCTCCTGGAGGCAAGGGAAACAGCAGCTCCCTCCCTCCCAGCCCTCTCCCAGACTGAGGCCTTCTCCTTGCCTGCTGTGGCACAGCCGGGCAGCTGCCCCTGTCTGCGGACACTGTGTTGTCGGTGCCCCTGTGCTCGCCCCAAGGCACTGGGACTGAGTGCCCACACACAAGATCTCCTGGATTAAAAACTTCATTCCTGCACCTAGTCATGGAAGACGTTGATGGTCCAGACATGGGGGGAGAAGGAAGCAGTGATTCTTTAAAACTGGATCTTTACCAGTAAGCACTCAGAAATTCAAGTAGAAAAACCTCGACCCTTTCCTCCACAAAAATCACAGAACTCTTAAAGGTGACAAATACTGGATTTGTGGGATCCAAAGTCAACATTTAACAGTAGGTACAGCATAGGTCTATGTGAAACACCCCAGGGCTTTGGCTTGAAGCCAACTACAGGGGGCAAGTGTTTCTGAAGTCCCTTGGGGAGTGGGAGGAGAGATTTTGCAAAGACACAATTTGTTTGCACGGAGTAACATGCAAATGTGCAGAAAGGTGTGATTCAGTAAAGACTTCTCAATAGAGGAGGAGCTGTGGCCTCAGCCAGACCTTCCTTCCACCTCCATTATCTTGCCTGCATGCTGCTCTCCCCACCCCAATAGCAACTAAATGGCCAAAATAGGACCGGGGAGCATCACATGAGATAACGTGTGGCAGGACCAGGACTAGCAGAGAAACTACATGACCCTGTGTTTTGCATGATCCTGGCCAAGTAGGTTCACTGTCAGCTCTATCAACTTGAAGGAGAATTTTGGAGCCTTTGACATCATTTTCACAGGTTTTAATGGTGAGCAGGGAAAACAAGCCAGCAGGGAGACAGCAACTTGAGCCCCCAGCAAATCTCCATCCAGTCTTTTCTCTGGCATTCTCTGGCTTTCTCTGTGGTCTCTTCCTCTCGTAACATCGCTCATAGCCGTTCTGCCGTAGCTGTCTTTCAATAACTCCTCCTTCATACCCCTGACCTCTAGGCTCAGGAGAGTACATTTGCACGGGTGCACACATCCTGCTCAGGTGTCCATAGTCAGGCATGCATGCCCCACACCCATGCGTCCCCTCTACGTTAAAAAGATCAGGGCTACAGGTGATAGCCAAGAGGCCAATGGCTTCAAAGCCTGACCAACTTCATTGACCCTCCACCCTGAGATTGAGTGCCTCCTTAAATTTTGCATCCGGAGACTGCCCCCTCTTACCTAACCTGAGCTCTAGACCTGACATGTGACAATTCGGTGAAAGTTATAAAATACTAAAGAAACAGTCCAGCCTTCCAAGAACTCTTTTCCTGTTAGTTTCCACCCATGCCAAGCTAATTTCCAACCACAACCTGAACCATACTGGTGCTTTGATGGGATTACTGAGGTCCCTTTTCATTCCCCTGCCACTGCATTCCAGGTGTCTGTTCTCTACCAAGTGGGTAGTTAACATTTTTATCTCTAGCCCATCCTCTTAAGGATATGTTCTACAAAGAAGCAATGAAGCTCTTATCCCTTGTGAAAAGAAGATGGTGTTGCCCTGCTGGTAGTCTTTGTTGCCAAGCAGTAATGTCTAGAATTAAAGACAGGTGGGGAAATTTCCTGGGAGATGGGCAACTCCCTCCTAATTTCAGCATCTGGGGAGCTTTGCAGCCTGGTGCCCTCTGCTGCCCTCTGTGGCCAAAACATCAATCTCTTTAGAGACATTCCTCTAAATTGGGTCCCATCTCTTCCCACTATCACCTTTCAAAGCTTTTCTCCTTTCCTTCTCCATGGCCTGAGAAAAGTAAAATAGAATGTTCTAGCCACATGCCTACATTTGATGTACATTCTCAGCTCCTTCCCACAAGCATTGTGAAATTGAATCCTGGAAGAAATCTTTAGAGAAATCTTGGACCCCTTCGCTCTGCTCTAAGCAAGGCTGGGTACAGTCCTTCTGGGAATTACAGACAGTGTTTTTGGTCAATCCCTCAGACATTGCCAAAACCCAAGATTTCTCAAAGTTACTTACTGGGCTGTCTGATTATTTATCTCAGCTTGGGGACTTTCTCTTGGAGGGCAGAATGGAAATAGCTATAGTATGACTGATGTGTTCCAAATTGATGGTTTATCTTTTCTTTGAGAAAAAAAAAAAACCTGTGTAAAGCTAATTTCATAAGCTCAATCCTTCTGAAATGTTCTCTGAGATTGGAGGTGTTGCTTTTAACTTGCAAGTGTAGCCCGGGATTTAGAAGTTTCTCGTGGTGCTGGTGATGATTGGTGGTGGGCACCTGGCAGCTGCAGAGGCATCTGTTCTTCCCCCCACCACACCCCAGTCCCAAGTGAGGCGAGTAAGCTTATTGCTGATTAAGAGAAAACTGTGTCTTAGCAATTTGAATTCCTCATTAAATGTGTCTACTAGGATCAGGTGGTTGGAGAAACCCAGTATGAAGTCACCTCATTCCCGAAACTTACCAGCTCTTAAAAATGGTTCTACTCTTACTAAAGAGCAGAGATTTGAATCCTTTGTTTGAATCCCTTGACTTTCTAGCACAATGCTTGATTTCAAAGCCCATGCCCAGTTCTCAGTGCCTCTAAGAAAATGAGAACTTGTGACTGGGTCTCCAGTTCTCTGCAGGGTGTTCCCCACCTCTCCTAGTCTGCCTGCCAATGCCTTCCAGGTGCTCCTGAGAAATAGTCCCACCCTCTTGCCATGTACAGGGAAACATGTTTATTTTGTATTTTGGTGGTGACACAAACCTATACCCCTACCCAATTCCACTTATGGCTGTGCAACAAGTCTTTAGAATTTTTTATCTTGCAAAACAGACTATAATCTCTAAACACTCATTCTTAGCCCCTTCCCTGTGCCCTCTTTGGTACAGTCAAATTTGTAACTACTTTGTGAGTGAAATTATACTGCATTTGTCCTTTTGTAAGCAGCTTATTTCACTAGCATAAAGTCCTGGAGGTTCATTGCGCAGATTAATTTAATAGAAAATGTGGACAAGCTAAAGGGGATATAGCAAGGCTTGGGGCCCCAGGGTGGACCAGTTCCATGGCCCTTTTTCTTCTTGTCAATTGACAGAAGTGAAGCCAGTGGACCCTTCCCCACACCTCAAGAAATGAAGAATTATTGTCAGTGGATAGTGGTCAGTACAGCTGTCTTCCAAAAAATGAATTTCCCCCGTCCTTTCCGAACGCAGTTCTGCTGGATAACCTTAAGGTAAGCAGGGCAGAGGCTGACTGAGCAGAGTTCTTTCCAGTCTGGGACAGCTCTGCAGATAGAAGGCAGCATTTCTAGCACAGCTGGGAGATCCCCGAGCTCTAACAGCCTGCCCCTTAGATCCCTCATCTCCCCACACCCAACACTTGAAGCCCAAAGACACGGCGCCGGCCTGAGATCCTGTGATTTGAGGGCGTCCTATCAACTCCTACCCCAAAATCACACAGGGAAGCCAGAATGACTTGTCAAATTCCGCACTGGACCGGCTCAGTGGTGGCCAGGTGTTGGGAAAAAGGTGCCAGGTACGTTCAAGGCCCATCCAGTCCCGCATGCCCGCCAGAACCACACCCGCGACGCAATGCCAGGCAGGTGGAGGGAAGGAAGCACAGTCTTGGCCCTGGAGTTGTTTCACTCCACTGTTTCTTTCCGATCCAATGGGGCAGGTGATCTGTCTCCCTGCTTCTCCACCAAAAGGGCACAGCCAGGTGCTTTCTGTTCAAAAGAGCGCATCGCCCAGACCCGGCACAGCTGGGGCCCTGGGAACTACCCACCCGATCCTCGGGGCCACGCCGCACCGCGTAATGGCTCCGCGAGGCGCCGTGGGCGCGGGACCCACGCGCTCGCAGGCTCGCCCTCGTCCCAAGGGCACGGCGGGGGTGGCGGGACACCCGCGCCCCGCAGCGCTCCCGGAAACTGACTCCTCTGCCGCGGAGCCCACATAGGCTGCGCCTCCCAGGTACGGTGTCCCACCTTCCCGCCCGGCACCCCGGCGACCTCAAAAACAACTTCTGGAACCGCCGAGGGAGCAGGCGGGGCGGGCAGGCCGCCGCGAGCCGAGCGCGGGGGCAGGAGGCGGGCCGGGGTCAGGGCAGAGGCCGCAGCCGCGCCTCGCGATTGGCCGGGACGCAGTGGGCTGCCCGGGCGCGCGGCACGGCGGGGCGCGGGCGGGGCGCGGGCGGGGGCGCGGGCGGGGGCGGGGCCAGCCGGCGTGCGCCCGCCCCCGCCCCGGAGCCCGCGCCCCTCGTGGCCTCCCCAGCAAAGGCCGCCGGAGTTTTTAAAGTGGGCTGGCAGCCCTCGGCACGGGACAGTCGGGAGCGGCCAGCAGCACAACGCCGGCGCCCGCCGCGCGCCCGCCCCCGCGCTCCTGAGGCGGCCGTACAATCCTCGGCAGTGTCCTGAGACTGTATGGTCATCCCAGCGCCCGCCCGGCCACCGGCTCCTCCAACGCCCTGCGTTCCGGCCGCTTTTCACTTTTTTGAAGTCCCAGAAAAGTGACTTCTCTTCCAAGGAAAAAGGAACTTCAGCCCCCTTCGCGCTGGCCTTTTGCATTTGACAGCCTCCTCCCACTCCCTACCCGACCCCGCCTCCCCGTGCAGGTTGCTTCCCGTCACCTTTCTCCACCCCCAGCCCCCGCACCTAGCCAGCTGCGCCCAGACTTCCACCTGACTGTGCGGGGCGCTAAGAACCTGCGAGCGCTTGGGGCCTTTTCCACCGGACCTGGCCGCAGGGACTGCGTGAGGACCGCGGTGAAGACAGTGGCCACAGCCTCCGCCGGCGGGGAGCCCGGCTGTTCGGCGCTTCCGAGGGCCACGGCCACAATGACAGCTGACAAGGAGAAGAAAAGGTAAACGGGAGTCCGCGCCGGCGAGGGCGCGGGTCCGAGGGCACCACCCGGCTGCGCCTGGCCGGCGCGATGAGGCCCGAGGGTCGGCGTGGCGAGTGTTGAGTGGGGAGAGCAGGTGCCGGGGGTTGCGGGTGGGGGCGCCGAGCTGCGGATTCGCGGGGGAGAATTCTGTGAGCCGCAGCCGTCGGGAATTTGTTCCCGCACCCGGGCTTGGTGGCCGCGGAGGTGGCCCTGGATGCCAGAGGTGCCGCCTCAACCCGCTCGCCCCGCTCCTGCCCCTCAAACGCTCAAGGCCAGCAGGTTGAAGTGTTTCTTGCTTGATTAGGCTGAGGTCAACTGGAGATTTTCTCAGGTCTTGCGTGCGGGGCAGCGTCTACTTTTTTCTTGGGACCCTCGAGTCCTTCCAAACGAGCTGCTGTGCCCTCCTCGCTGCTCCCCAGACTGGAAAGGGGCCGGAAGCCGAGAGCAGCGCCGGAGTGCTCGCCTGCCACCGGGTCTGGCCGCAGCATCTAGCCCCATTCCGGGTCTCCAGTCCCAGCTGGAGCTCGGAGAACCTCGCTGGCTGGCCCCGCACCTTGGCTCGGGAGGAGAGCGCGCAGCGGGGCCGCGCCGCCTCGCGGGGCAGGTGTCTTGGTGTGCAGGGAGGGCATGGCGGGGCCGAGGACCAGGCAGGTCCCTGTGCCTCTCTCTCCCAGGAGAGCGGAGAAGGGCAGCCACCCTCGCCAGCCTGCCCTCGCCAGCCTCTGGAACTGGGTGAGAGGCGACTCCAGCCAACTCTCACTGCCCTCCCGCCCCCTCCCGGCCGCTCCAGGCCTGGTCTGGCCCTTGCTCTGCGAGGGTGAGCGCGCTGCGGGGCTGCGCCGGCGAGGGTGCAGCGTCGCCCCCCGCAGTCCGTGGGGCTGGCTGCCTAGCGCCCCGCGCCTCTCTCCACTAGGAGCTCCCTCCCGGGCGCGCTGGAGCTTTCGGCCCGGTGCGAGGCTGCGACTTGCAGGGCTGAGTTGCGCGAAACTGGAATCAAACGCGCTGCCAATTGAGCGGCTCAGAGTCGCGGGACCTGCCCGAGGGGCCGGGGCGGCGTAGGCATGAGGGGACCAAGCCCCGAAGGGAGAGGGGTGCAGGCCGTGAGAGTTAGCGTCCGCGTTGATTTGCTCTAACTCGGGCTTCCAGTGCGGGACCGAAGCCAGAAGCCGTGTATCCGCTGGTCTAAGCGGCGGTTCCCACCTCGGGGCACCGATGAGGGTTGATAAACTAGAGCGTGGGTTCTGGAGGGGCGCCCCGAGATCGCTGGGGGGAAGGCTGCGTCCGGCTGGCTGCCCCCTCACGGTCCAAGCGCTCCCTCCTGCGTCACGGTGGCGCCCCAGGGCCTGAGACGGGTGAGGGATCCTTGACTTGAGTACTGGGATCCTGAGACTTCAGGGGATGGCACCCCTGGGGGCCGGTGTCTTTGGAGGGCAGCGAAGCAGGGAAGAAACTTTTAAGATTCCAACCGTTATTGAAAAACCAACATAGCCTGCATCCTGATGCCACTTACAGAACTTAACAATCAAAACCCCAAGTTACAGTCACTGCCTCCGCGCGGGCTCTGGGTTTCAGAGCCGGCGAGGGAATTTATTGTACATTTTACAACTGTGATGCCTGTCCGTGAATTTCGCAATCCAGGGAGGTGGGGCCAGATGGTAATCTTGACAGATGTGTGAAGTGTGAGCTTCTCCCGCGCGGCTCAGCTCCGGGTCCTGTGCCATTTTGTATACGAATCTCTCAAGAAACTTGGGCGCGGGGAGAAAGCTATTTCAACACACCCAGCTGTGGTGTTAGCCGCCTGGCGCAGAGATAGAGGAGAGGCGGCCTGCAAGAGACCAGGAGGAGATGTTGCATAATCAGACTCCGAGTCAGTCCCAAGCGCGGCTGCTTTCAGAACCTCGGCGGGGTTGCGGGTGAAACGCCTAGGAGGCACCTGCCGGTGCTGTGCCCTGAGCGGGTATCTGCCTTCTGTGAGGTGCCTTGAGTTTTGTACCCCTGACTGACAAGGTAAACAGCTTGTCCCTCTCCATCCAGAGCCCCATGAGGGGTTGTCCAATTCCTGTTGGACTAATTGTTTTAAGACGTTTACTTTTTGTGCCTAATTCTGCTGACTGCAGGCTCCTTTTGGCACCAAGGGTGGCCAAAATATGTGAAGCAATGCATGGGAAGTTGGTGTGTCCTGTAAGTGATTGTCTTTAGCTTCTGTAAAGTGCCTCACAAGTGCAGTGAGATGCCTGCCAAGAGAGATCTCAGGTGAGGATTCTGTGCACCAGTTCTTTAGAAAAAATTGTTACTTCCGATTCAGAGAACACTTTTCCAAATTCAAGATGAACTGAGCATTTGCCATGTTCCTTCTAATAGCAGCCCTTCCAGAAATGGGTAAGGATTATTTTGCTCCAAAATGTTCATGTGTGGATGGATATGTTAATGTTTAATAATAAAGACTTTCCTTTCTAAACCTGGTTGGCTGCCTTGATAGGGGGTGCCTGCGTGCACTCATTCGTGGTAGGGGATATGTGAAGTGCACCAGATATGGTCTGAAACCCCCTCCACACACTTTTTTTGTACCTCTCTCTGGCGTGAAGTATGTCTCAATAACCAAAGTTCCTGATTTTGTGAAGCACTGGAAAGTGTCAGGATGATTCACCTCCTGATAAAACAATTTCTGACTTCATTCTCTTGGGGAGATCTGAAAGTTTTTAGGAGCATGGCAATTGGAGAGTGGTTCAGGCAAATGGAAAAGTAGTAGGAATTATCAGGATGACTCACCTGATAAAACAATCCTGTGTTCCTCCTCTAGGAGAGAAATGAGTCTGAAAGTCCTTAAGTGCATGGAGATTGGACAGTGGATCAGGTAAATAGAAATGAAGTTCTTGGAAAATTAGGGATCAAGGTCCAGCCCCTGAGCCAGATCAGGTTAGCGTACCTTTCACATAGGCTTGCACTGCTTAGTGTGGGGCCTGTGGTGCCAGAGGAGTTAATGACATGTGGACACGAGTTTTCAAACTATCTCCTCCTCTCTGCCAGCTGGACTGAATTGTTCCTCTGCTAAAAATAAAAAGTCCATCTTTTCCAATTCTTGGAAAAATAGTGCTGGACAGCTTTTCCTCAACTTAAGTATATTTCCTCCATGTATTCCTTCAACATTTGACACCTGATTCCAAGAACACAGGGACGATCTACAACTGATGTAACATAGTATAGTTCAGGTACTTAACATTCAACTCATACTGTTTTCATGAAGTTCAAAAGACTGCTATGGATACTACAGGTGTTTTCGATGTCACTGATGGCAAGTTTAGAATTATTTTATAAGGGAGAGTAGAAATCATCTCTCTTTCTGGATGAGAAAACCAAGGCCCTGAAAAGTTAAGTGCCTTCTACCAGTCACAAGTGCTGATAGGAATCGGAACCCAGATTCATTACGACTAGCCTTGAAATACCTCTAGACAGAGAGGACAATTTCCAAATGATTAGTGCGCCACCCCCAAACCACTGAACCTTGTATAACGGAGATTTGCCTTTCTAGACAATTATAAAAGACTCCAGGCTACAGCTTGAGTGATTGTTTGCTTTTTGCAAAAAAAAAAAAGGAAGCAGAGTTGGGCTCGTTCCGGTATCTGAAAACTCTGGCAAGTATGAATTCATTGTTGTACTGTTCTCCCTTTATTTCACTTAGAAAAAAATTCACTTGTATGTGGACCTCATTAAATAAAACCAGCGCAAGGACTGTTCCCTGGTAGAGCAGAGTGCTTTGTGGAGAATTCCCTGTCAGCCCCCATGCAGCAGTTATTAGATTGATTCCTGTCCTAAATAAGTTGGCTTTTTCACTCGGAGTGAAAACCATAAAACTAAATCTGTTTAATTCACTTAGATGATCAGTTACTCTCCCCTTACTATATGCATGCAGGATAATCCTCAACTTTCTAGGAATGTATTCTATAAAATGTTACAAATATTAGAAACCAATTGGATAATTCTTAGTGTTCCAGAATATTAGCCCAATGTATTTGAAAATATTTGCTATCATTAATTATTTCAAGATTTAGGTTTTTTTTCATTTCTCAGGGAATCCATTTGGTAGTATTTACTTTTTATATTTTCCCAGTTCTGTTCCACATACTGTCATGAGTTTTTATTGTTGTTATCTTTAAGTCTAATGAGTCTTCCCTTTTTCTTTTATCATTGACACTTACTGATAGTTCATAATAAGTAGGATTTTTGCCAATATTGTAAAAATCAGCAGTGTTTGCTCTCAGGGTCCCTAATATCCTTTACCCCCACGCTCCTCAGTATCATGCTGTCATTCTCATGATGAAAACCAGCTCTGCTGTTTGCATCATGGTATAAAGCAACAAGACAACAGTGTATATAGAACACCGACTCCTATTCTGGATAAAATGCTGAAGAGGAATTCAAGACATAAGGGATTTGGTCCTCCTCATCTTCAAGTTGTTTAGTTTGACTGGAAGTAGGAAGGACACACAAGGAAGCTTAACTAAAGATATAAGCAGCTAGCAGCTTCCATGCAACCTTTTTGTTAGGATTAAATCTTTTGAAGTTAAAAACCTAGTAGCATTTCAGGAAGCAATTACACACACAGCACACACAATTATTTAAAAGTATTGTGTGCATTTTGGATGGGAGATATTTTCCCTGGAATCACACAGAGTTACTGTTGCCATCAGCATGAAGACTGACTCTGAGCGAAGGTCAAATGGGGGTTAGGCTGGGCTTCAGGAGAGCAAGGACAAATGGAGGGTTCAAGAATATTCCCTGTCATGTACTTAGAACATAACAGACCCCCAACATTGGATGTTTACTGTTCTTACACACTTGGCTTTGGGTGAAGACACACAAAGGCATCTAATAGGGCTGCAGGAGCAATAAGAGTATATATAGGTCCTGATCACACTGGGGACAGCAGTGGAGACAGCTGTGACCTCGGGAAGGCCTGAAAGGCACAGAACTTCTTCCCC